TGTGATTTCTAGATGTATTCTTGGTGGCAAAACAAAAATTCAAGGACACAAGATGCTGTTTATAAGCTCACAGTAAGTGTGAGCAAATTGACTTTGGCAGCATTCACACCTTTTAGTCATGAAATCTTAAGGTTTTAAGACCACCCATTGCCTGAATTACTTTTTGTATATGGTAAAATGTTCATGCTCTTACCACATAATGCAAGAGGTGTCTCTTCAGTCACTGTGCATAACTCCCAAGAAAAAAAAGCCCACTCCCCCACCCGTTTTTTTGCTTGCAGATCTAAAGATTTTTTATTGTGTTACATTGAAAGACTTTAACAATCAACTCCTGGGAACCCGGTAGCACTTCGTGCCCAGGCTGATACTGCTCAGTTGGCCCACTATGACAATGTGTTTACACATTTTAAAATGTACTCTCTGACCTACAGGCAGGATAGGAAGGTATCCCCCTCCTCCTGAAAAGCATTACTGAAGACATTTTAACATGAAAACATCCCATGATTCTATTATTCCTTGTTTGTATCAAAGATGGGAACCTCTCACAGAGACAGGAACTCATTAGAGATGCAGAATGTTAGTGCTGGAGAATTGATCAACATTTACAAAAACTCGTTTGTATGTGCAGAAGGTAAATATCTTCTTCAAGAAAATGTCTTTGCCCACAGTTATGGGAGTTCTCATATTAATAAACCAAACAAAATCTGGCCCTTAACAGAAAACACTTGTGAGGGCCTGAAAAATATCAGTGTTATGGACAGTGACAAATATTGCTGGAACCTTGTGTTTTATGAGAATGATTTGTTAATTGTTCAATGCAGCTGTTGTTTGATGGAAAGAAAACATTTGTGATGCCTCTGTGGTCCTATTAAGACTAATTAATTCCTTCTCCAAATGAAATCAAGACTAATTAGACTCTAATATTAATTTCCTATTTGTCCTGAGTTGCTAATTTTCATATCACCCTGTTGCAGCCTATATTTGTATGTCTGTGCTTGGGGATGTCAGTATTTGTCTGACAGGGTGGCAAGATGATATAAGACAACCATAAACATAATTATTAAAGTTGCCAGAGGGGCTGGTGCAAAAGGAGAATGATTCCAATCTCAACAGTGGCAGTCAGGCCTTGAAATCCATGTGGAACTAGACATGAGCTGGTTCTCCAGAAACCTTCAAGACAGAGCTTCACACTGGGAACAAAGGTTTAGATGATGAACCCTTGTGTGCCACTGAGGTACTGCTCAAGTGATTTTCAGTATATTTAATTGAATTATGAACTTCTCTGTTGAAATAAGCTACTGATACGTTCATGATGGTCCCACTGGTCCTGGCAGACTGAAGGAATGCTGCTTATCCCTATTTCTCTCATATGCAGTTTCTCTTCCTTCTCTGCTTCCTTCCCTGGACAATGCAAAGCTGGTTCTCTCTGGGAAGCTGCTGAGCTCCCTGCACCCTCCCCAGCCATCACCTTATGTCTGACACTCTTCAAAGTCAGTGGCACCATGTTCTCCTTCTGTGGCTCAGATCATACTCTCTTTTCTCAGGCTTTCATGTGTTTCACCCTGAGAAACTGCTTCCCAGCAAATGTTTATTTACACCTGTAAACCTGGTTGTCCAGATTATGTTTTCCACTTGTTTTTGTGGTACTGCTTATAGCCCTCATCCTAACATCCTGCACTGCATCTCCCACTATTAAACATTGATTTCCTTATGATAATACTCCTTGGCCAGTCACTCAGGATATGAAACTTCCTCCTTATCTCACCATCCTCTAAAGTTCAATCCACTTTTCCCTGCATAACCTGTGCGACTGCCTCCACTCCTGTGGATTCCTTCTACTACCCTCACTAACAGAATGCTAATCCAGCTTTCTACTTCTAAGGTATCTCCAGCCTTCCCAGTTCTGTGTTTCAGCCACTCTCTCTTTCTGAATGTTCCACAATGATTTTCAAAGCTGTGTGTCGAGAGCTGTAAGTCTGACCATCTCTTCTGTGATTGGCACTGCTGCTACTCTTTCTTCCTCTCACAATCCTGTTTTGTCAGGGGCAAAACTGTCTCCTCTGACATGGGGAACCATCTTCATTTCACTTTGGCACAAATATTTTGTTCAAGTCCAAAATTAATATTATTCCTACTAATCTCTTTTTTTTCTCTGGCCACTACTACTGTGTTGCCTTATCTCATGAAATCATACCCTCTGTTTTATTTTAGCCACATATCTTTGATGTCCACAATAGCCATTGCAGTGCATGGAGAAGTTCACATGCAAGAGTCTCCATATTTTTGTTCTAACTAATCCTCATTTGTTGTTATTCTTGTCACTGAGTGCAAGTGTTACCATCTTTGACACATATTTAATTTGTTTTTTCATAATTATCTATCATCTTCTTCAGTGCTATTTTGGATCTGTATAACACTTCTCTAAATCTTTGACTGTGAAGTTTGTAAACACTTTTTGTCTTCTGTATGTCTAAATACTGCTGTTACACCTTTAATTAATGGTCTGCATAACAGCAGAACAGCTGAAGGCAAACAGCGAGAAAGTGGTTAAAATTCCCTTTAATTAAAAAAACTAACACCTCAACAAAGAATTCTCTATGAGAAAAGTAGTGCTAGTGCTTTATTGATGTCCAGAGAACAGGAACAATTTGAAGCCTCTAACACTGCACGGGAAAATAATTTTGAGTTTTCTTCCATGTTTTCCTTTCTCTCTTCCCATTTTAATAACCAGACAGTACAGAAAATGCTGCAGTTTCTAAATAAGTTTTAAACAAATCTTTTTCTAAAAGTCAGTCCCTGAATGTTATCTCGAAATTGTTTCCCATGAAAATAAAGGCATATGACAATTAGTTTTGCCCAGGAAACAAAATCCTGTTAGAACTTTCATCTCTGCAGGAGCCCAGGTGTCTGTGAGGGGAGTGCTGGATGGGCACAGGAGACCCCTGGACCTGAGAGAAAAATCTTGCTTTGTCTTTCTAGCTGTTGCCTATGACCGGCCAAAAGGAAGCAGGGCTTAGTGTCACGACTTTTCAGTTTCTTCTGTACGCTCTCTCCCTCTGAGAATTCCTGGTTTGTTCCTTTTGTGCAGTAGTTCTCCCTTTCCCTTATAAAAAGGCCAAAGCTATTTGTCTGCCCTGTGGGGGAATGTGAGCAGTGCCCTGAGGGTCCTCTATCAATCCCCTGCCCTATAGTGTTTGAGAGCAGTAATTCATGTCTGGTGTCAGTGTCCCCCTGCCCTGCTCGGCAGTGATGTGACCCCCGGCTCACCCTGCACTGGCTGCTGCTGCATTTAATGGGTGAGGACCCACTTGTGTTAGTTGAAGACACTGTCTTTGACTGTCTTTACAAACTGGTGTCCTCAATTAATTTACAGATGCAAAGCAGGTTTTCCTTGGTGAAATGTTCTACAAGTACCACTTTATCCTGAGTGACCCTGACTGAGGATGACACAGCCAGTAATCAGATGGGGAATCTCATGGTAACTTGCTATTTTCTATGGCTTTCTGTGCGTTTTTACATCGTGTTTTTTCACTGCCATTACTTAAGTTTTGTTGCCTTATTTGGTACTACAGAGCTGTACTTTACATATCTTAACCTTCTCAGGAGATAAAGTAATTCTGGTGCTTTTAATTAAACACTAGCACTTCTGCCAATTCTTCATGATTTAATATATCCAGTACCATTAACATGTGATTAACCTAGGTCAACATATCCTTGAAAGAGAAAATCTGAGTCTTAAATGCAAGAATTTTTACTTTCAAATCATATCTGACTGTTTTAACAGACTAATGAGCACAAAAAGGTGCATGCAATAATAACTGAATACCTTACCCTTCCTGTCTCACAATATTTCCAAAACATTTAAAAGAGGCATATAGATCTGTTCGCTTTTCTGCTCTAGATGCCACAGGATTAATGGTAAAGAATGTGGCTGTCAGAATAAGGACCAACGTTTGGCTTTAAGATTGAGCCCTGCCAAAATGACACTGTAAAAGACAGTCACCTAATGAAATTTTGTGAGATGAAGGCCATAGAGTCTTTTGCAGTGAGTTCTCACATGTGCAGGTTGTGATTTTATTTGCGGAGTAACTCACCTGTTTTGGATCTTACCATTCTGAAATCAGGGCATTCGAATCTGAACATTCTTCTACTCAGAACACAGAAAAAGGATCAAATTCAAAATAAATTTGAGTCCAGGATGAATTAAGAGGAAGATCACAATGTATAACTATTGCTTATTAAAAATTATGTGTTTAAAATGTTACAAGTTAGTTGTCTGTGTCTTGCAACTAAATTTCTCTAAAAAAGGGAATTGTCAAGTATCTTCACCTCCAGGGTGCAGGGTGCTGAGGGTGAAACAGGCAGAGCTGCCCTTTGGGAGAGGAGGCACGGCGGGGAGCTGGGTAAAGGGAACAAGAGCAGGGCCAAAGAAACTGCCCCCACAGAGAGTTAAGAGAAAGCACTACAGAAATACACTTCCTGCAGGGATCACATTTTACCTGTAGAGCATCTTTTAACAGAAAGATCTTATTGAATAATTCTTACGTCTTTGATGAAACAAAAAACATCAGCAGTAACCTAAGCAGGTACCTACTGTAACATGTTTGTCTTGGATGTCAGATACACTCTGCCCTGAATAATTCTAATTTTGTTGAAGTAAAACTGAACCATGGATGATTCATTCCATATCCCGTTTCTATTGTAAGGCCTGTACAGAACAGAGTTACTGTAGCTTCTCTATACCACTAAGGAGTAACATTTGTTTCAATTGGTATTCTATTAATATCTTCTCTAGAAATAATGGTTTCCCATACTAAAGTATATAAATATAGTCAGCCATTGCCTTTTCTTCTAAAACACATTCAATAAAGGTAGATCTTATATGGGATTAAAAATCTGATATGCCAGTTCTTAGCAACATTTCATACAATGATCCCAAAGGCTGTTTAACACAGAAGTCTGTCTTTATTACACTTGTAGCCTAGTTTGGCTTTGCATGTGCAAGTGACGTTCCACTAAAGCCAAGTATATTGCTGCACAGCACTGTGTGAATTAACCTGAGATGGAAAGATGGCAATTTCCATTCTTCTTCACTGTTTACAGAAAGTGTACTTATGTTGTACTCCTTGTTTCTGAAAGCAGAGGAGTCAGTAATTTGTGCCAGGATCAATAACTCAATTAAAAGGAATTTAAGGGCAGGAGAGACAGAGACACAACTGCTCCTCACAGGAGAACAGCAGTGTGGTGCCATTGCCTGCTGTGGATTGGAAAGGGGAACACAGAGGAGGAAAGGACTCACCTTCTGGCTGGGCATTTGCACCTGCAGAGCCAGGAGCTCCTACGTGCACGAAGGAGCTGGAACCTCCGGTGCCCACAGGAGTATAATGTCCCCAATGACAACACATTTTTATAGTAGATGACTGTAACACTGAAATACACTGTAGCACTGCATTAATGATCACATCCTCCACTCTACGTGGGACAAATTTTGTTTCCTGAAGATGCCAACTGAGCAAAGGATTGGCAATTTCCATGTTCATCTCCAATTTTCCTTTCAGAAGCGGTGCTACGAACTGCCATGGTGGACATCTCACTGCCTCCCCTGTCCTGGGTTAGCACTGCTCTCTCTGAAGTTGGGTTCACGTTGGACTCTGCAATTCCTGTGGCATTGCACCTGAACATTTGAATCAGACACCTCCTGAACTAGAAAGGTAAAAAAACAGGAGATCAATTAAAACACATGAGAAATTTTAAAACAGTTCTATAAATTAGTCTGTGTGTTAGCTAAAACTCTTAGAAATTCTCTCGTGAATCAGCTGGGAATATAAAGAAATAACCCTAAAAAATGTATTTGCCCATGCCACCATGAAGAACTCTAAACCTGAGAACTAATGATGTTCTCAAAAGACCCAAACTATTTCCCTCTTCTGATTGTAACTAACCACATCTAATGGACAGAACTGGTCATTTCTCCAGACTCAAGAGTTGCTTTCATACACTAAATCCCAGCAATTCAAAGGTGGTTTGTCTGTTGTTTGCATCCACACACAGGGGATGAGCAGCATCTGCCCCGCACTGGGAGACCAGGGTGCTGTCCACAGCATGAGAGACAAGCAATAGCTGTCTCACTGAATAAATGTATTCACCACTTCTTATCCAGTGGTCACTTAACTATTTTTCTTCTTTTCGCTTACATGCTTATACTCTGCTTGATGGCACCACTCTCAGTAACTTCATTCCCTGCAGAAATCTGTGCACGTTTGTTATCATGCTTGTTACCACTCTGAGCACACAGCACTCCGGCCCAGCCCCACAGCAGTTCCTTTTCTCTGCATCTGATCCTCTGCCCTCACTCCAGAGAAGAAAGCTCCCTGTCCATGGGCACATGCAATGCTTCTACCCCACTGCACATACAACCACAAATGCAGCACTTCCCCGACACAAATTCAAGCTTTGAAAAGTTCCACCCCGCCTTAAAATCAACTTTTTGGTGTTGCATTCCTGAAGAATTACTGAAATACACCGGGACAGTCTTAGAACAGAATTTTCATACAGAAAACCAACTGATGTTCACTAAGGGCTGATTTTCCTTTATAATATCTAAACCTAATAATTATTAACACTTATATTTTAATAATGCACAGAGGCTTACGCTATCTTACGGCAGGCAGATTATTTTTTTTTGTTCTAAATGCTGGATGTTGTAATACTTGTAAACTAACACATAGGCAGGTAGAAATAGTTCACCATAAAGCAAGATAAAATAGCAAAATATGAGTTTTAAAGAAACTTTGAGAGCATACCGTACCTGTTTGTTCATAAAGACATAAATAATTGGATTATAAACAGTAGCTGTTTTGGAAAAGAAAGCTGGGATTGCTGCCAGACAAGGATCCAGCTCAATGGAGGGGTCTGCAGTGACGAGGATGGAAAAGGCGGCGTATGGCATCCAGCAGATCAGAAAAGCAATGATCATAACAACCACCATTCTGGTCACTTGTCTTTCAGGTCTCCTGGTAGTTCTGAGCCTGCCTTGTGTTTCTGACACCTTTAAAGAAGAGATAAAAGATTCTAAAAAAGAAAAAAGAACAAGGCCTCCAACAGTGACTTTAGTGAGCGGGGCAGTGACCTGCCATGCTGGGACGACAGACCTGCGCTTCCCAAATGTGGCAGCAAAGGAGGAGGCTGTTACTGACCACAGGGTGCCAAAGTCCCTGCTCAGGGACAGGAATTACCCTATACTGGCAGTACTAAACTTTCCTCTGCTTAAGTATTGTTTTATTTTTATTGTGAAAGTGAAAAAGAAGGACATCACAGTGAGTCATGAGCAGACAGGGAGCTGGATTCCAGCACTTTCTAGTCCACGTAGCCTTTGCAGACAAGTAGGTGACTGATATGGGTGTTACAGCCAGCACTGCTCAGGCTGTGCAACCCCCTCACCCTGGGGGATGGCCACACCAGGGGAGTCTGTCTGGCTCAGTGGTGCTTTATGGCCTTCACCAGAAGAGCTGCTATGATCTAATGACACCAGAATTAAAGGAGGATTGGAGCATTTAGTAGGAATGCTCTCCCTCTTCCCCTCATTGATCATGCAAGCAGCCTGGGCAGAGATGTTGATACAGTGATTATGTGATGCCAAACAATGTGTTTCTGGGAAACATCCTTGTTTTGTTTCTGATGACTTGGTGAAACAAGGCACTGTTACGTTAGTTTACATGGGAAGTAATTAATGATAATGCTGTATGGCTCTAGAAGAAACTGATGCCAGGTCTTAAAATAATACATGCCAATAAAGTAGATTTTTTGGCATAATATGGCCTTTTAACTTCCTGCAGTAATGTTAGATCTCTATGGACACACTTCCCCTAATAACCCTTGAACTACACTCAGAGAATTCAACATATTTTGTACTTTTAGAGGTATAGAAGCACCTCCTGGGGGGGGGGGTGTCCTCATCTCTGTAGAAAATTGCAATTAATGTTGGGTTTTTATGCTGTTGTTATATAACATATATACAATATATATACATATGTATTATGTTTAATAATAATAATAATAATAATGAATTGTTATAACAGGTACAAGTTCTTAGGCATCAGTGAAGGCTGTGTTAGGTATTGAGCAAAGCTAAGATATGCCCTGTCACTATATGACACTTCTACAGCATTTTTTCATATATGCTGTACCCACACAGAGAGCAGCCCAGCCTCCCTTTCAGCAGAAGTACAATCACCCTGGGGTAGGAACACAATCTCCCTGATTGCACTTTCAACTGTTTCATCTTTGTCTGTCAGCCTGGCCTTTTTCTCATCTATGGTTTTTCCCTTCTGTCTAAAAACTGATAAGGAATCATGTACTGGTGCTTTATCTTCCAAACAAAGGCATACTGCCAAAACAACTTACCTCTGTGCTAAACTGCTAATTTGATCTTTTCCTGAAAATTAATTTCTTTCATCAACTTTGCAGTTGGAGTGAAAGCCACTATTGGCTCTGTAAAGCTGGTGTCACCAGGACTGAGAGACTGGCAGACTTTACTAAGACAGAACTGTGCCACTCGGGACCAAGTCTGCATTGTGGCAACCATGGGACATGGCAGCCAAAATCTGGGAAAGGGGATGGTTGGGAACACCAAGACACCAGTTCTGGTGCCTGGGCCTCTCTCTGTTCACTGTAGTCAGATTTCTGAAAACGAGTTTAGCTGTGAGATATGGCCATATGGTAATTCATTATAGATTTACAGATTATATTGCAGGTATTGGCTTTTCAGAGGCAAAGGCCAGGACTTGCATAAGCCAGATGGTCACAACTACATCACCTGTAATGTGGTCCCCTGAGGGCACTCTTGTTCCCTGGCTGTGCCATCCACCAGGTCACTGAGCTGTGAGGGAAGTGTGAAACACACAACTTACCCAGAAGTGTGATTTTTTAAATAATACTGCTATTCTTTCTGGATAGCAGAGAGAGGAGTGAGAAAGACAGCCCAGTGAGATCACACCAGAGTGGCTCCAGGCCATGCTGGTACACACTATATGGCACTGACCAGCCTTCCAGAAGACATCATGACCTGACTCAAATGGCAAAATGGGCCGTTCATGACATCTGCTGTGACTGACGATGCCTCCCTTGCTCCTCATCTCACCTGCTTTGTTTTGCATTTGCAGACTTTTAAGAGGAAGGAAACGGTCCTTTCTGTGCACCACCTAAAGCATCTGATTAACAGATCAGCCACTGCTCTGGCAGTCCCATGACAGCACTAGATGCAAGTGGTCTCACTGTCCTTCACACCCCCTCTGTTGGGGTGATGTCTCAGGCAATCTCATGGGTTCCCCTCCCAGGAACATCCTCCTGGAGGTGGCCCTGTGTCCCCCCCGGGTCCTCAGGGACAGCCTCGTGTCCCCAGCAGGAGTAGGAACCTGAGGTGGCTGCTCTGGGCTGCCCCTCTTCCCCCACATTGAGTTGGCCCCCTGTGCTCCCCCTTCATCCCATTTCCTCTGCAGGACAGGCAGGACAGGTGAAATAAAACACTAATAGAAATTCTGGATATTCAGAATAACAGAACCATAGTTTTACAAATTCTCTTAGGAGACCCTGAGTCCTCAGCAACGATTTCCTTCAGGCATCTCCATATCCTGCTCTTCCAGGCCCCACTCCCTGGCAGGCACCAGCTGTCCCCCCTGCCATCCACATCCCACCTCTTTTGTTTAATTCTGAAATCAACCTCTCCCAGCCATTCAGCCTTCACTCCCCTGAAAGAATCCGTGAGGAAATCAAGAAAAATCCTTTCAGAAGAATCACAGTGTCACCCAAAGTTCCCTTCTGTTTCATTTTACTTAGAAAGAACAACATTCAAAATAAATACAATTTGACTATCTCAAATACTTTCAAAACATCAGTAAATTGAAGAAACTCACTGAATTTATTACTGAAGCAACAAGGCAAGGCAGCTTTGCAGTAAATAGAAATATTAATATTGTCCCAAAATACTGTCCCAAAATCCAGTTCCAGATAGGAATTTTCCTATTCTATTGTCTTCTTTTTCACTTTTTGCAGCTTCTTCTTTGAATCAGGTGAACACAACCATTAAATAAAATTCAAAAGCATTTCTCAAGCCTTTAAAATATTTCTGGACAATCTAATATTTTATTTACTAAACAGGATTGCATTATTTACAAATGCTACATCTCACTCTGCATATAATTGTTACAAGCCAGTAGCCAGCACTCTTAAAATTTACAATTGAGTCATTTTAAGCTACATTCTGATTTGCCTGGTTTGAGTCTTAAGAAATGTCACTGAATTGAAGCACAATTGTGAATAAGCCAACACTGGGTAATTCAGTTTCTTTATTTATGAGGCAGACATTCTTTCATTTGTATGATGTTTGACTAATAGATGACTAATAAGTGATGCAAAACTGCACACTTTGAAAAACCACTTCTAACCATGGCATGTATTTCTGTTTGTAGGGATAATTATTTAACAATAACTGAGTGTGTTTGCTGACTGCAATTCTGATCTGCTTATGTCTGATCTTTATAGAAAGTCAAACTTAAAAATTCCAAACATTTGCGTACATGAACATTTTAAAAGTTTACTTATCAGTGCTTCTTCTTACCTTTTTTAGCTTCTGCACCAGTTTTCCGTAGGATACCAAAATCACTAATAAAGGCACTATAAAACAGGTGGTGAAGAACACAATAATGTATGCATGGTCAGCATAAGTTCCTGAGTACCTGTATAAAACACAAAATACATTGTGTATATATTACTAATATGTGGTGTTACTATTTCCTTGAAGTAGGAATTTTGCTCTTCAAAACTGCCTGTAATATTTTTGTCAATTGCTTTTATTCCAAGTGCCCCTTTACAACTCTAGCTGCATAATCAGATGGAGCCCTGGGACGTTTCCCTGCCCCAAGCTAGGACAGGATCCTGTGGCCACAGGTCAGTCCCACAGAACTGTGGGGCCCCTCAGGTGGGAAGGGACATGTAGTCCAATCTCCTGCTCCAAGTGGAGCCAGCTATGGGGTCAGACCAGCTTGCTCAGGGCTTTGTCTGCTCTTCTGAAAAAATCTGTCTCTTTGTCCTCTTTGACTCCTGACAAAAAGCACAAGGTATAGGGTGGCTATTTCCATTAGAGCTGGAAGCTCCTCCCTTTAGAAATTTTTGTTTTAAAAGCTGTTCATGGAAAATTTTTTTTCGTTTTTATCACAACTTTCTTCGCATCTGTTTTTTGCAGAGATGTTTAAACCTTTCCTTTAAATTCCTGCCCCCAAGGCCTCTTCAGCTGCAAGTTTCATTTCTTTACCATACCACGCGAGG